ATGCACCATCAAGGACCAAGCAAATGCAGTATATAGTCACCTTTGTCTTTTCGATGAGGATGATATCGCACCTGCAGGTTCTAAGACATCGCTTTCACTTTCCCACGATGAAATCTTCAGCGAGACCATCAGCAACTTCAAGTTTTGCCACAATCTCCCTAACCACCGCTCTGATCGGTCGATCTTTTGAAACGCGTGAAGATGGGGCAATCTGTCAAATTTAGGGTTTTTGATATCCGAAAATCAGTTATTTAGGTCACGTGTGTGGCACATGATCAGTTAATGAAATCCATGTCACTGATCCTTGCCACATCAGCATTTTATAACGGTCATTAAGGGCCACGTGAGGGGTTTCGCCGGAAAATTTAACTTTGGACAAAATCTGAACCCAGGTGCCAACTTAAACCCACTTTGAATAACAAAATGTTATCGGAGATATTTTAAATACCAATGTGGTGAAACGAGTTTTTTTTTATGTCAATTTGGTAGTTTATCTATTTTTTTAACAAATGACAACGATCCTATTTAAGGTAATATTTACATAGCAAAAATAATAATGCACGAGAAATTCATTGGTAAATATTATTCCTTTACAATTTGCAAATTAGGAAATAAAAAAGGAAAATAGAACAAATAATACATCCCCCCCCCCCCCCCACCCCACCCCCTCGACCTTTCGTCCGTCAAGGCCGCAGTTTGCATCAAATGTCCCGCATGCTTCATTTGACTTCAGATTCTCATGCTCAAAAAGAGAATTTTTTTATCAACAAAATTACAAAAATCAAGAGGAATCAATAAATACCAAGAAAAAAGCTCCTCCAAATTCAACAAATTCCTCTCCTCCTCTTGCTGCCTTTGCTCCGATGTGATCTTTGAATTTTTATATGGAATATCCTCGAAAGGATCCCAGTCCCCAAACCCCAACCCTACTATATCCCGTCTCCTCTCAACCCCAAACCCTAGCCCTAGCCCTAATGGCAGACGCCTCACCCAAGGTTCCACCCCCCGGACCTCCTCCAAACCCAGCCACCTAGCCTACCTCGCGCGATTGAGGTCGGCCGCCGCCGCCCACACGGACTCGAGTCTGGCAGTTCTACTTGGTCGTCGGGTCGCATTTCAGCCGGCGTTCGTTCGAGAGCACGGAGCCGCCATGTTCCCCGTTGATACCCTCAAGACTCGGATCCAGGCTCAGTCTCTACCGTTCAAGAGCTCGATGAACCTGCAATCGGCTCTCAGATCGATACTCAAAGCCGAGGGCTTTCTCGGCCTTTATCGCGGCCTCGGCGCCATGGGCCTTGGCGCTGGCCCTGCACATGCTGTTTATTTCTCTGTTTACGAGATGTCGAAAGAATTCCTCTTGAAGAAAAACCCTAACCCTAGTTCGAATTCTTACAGTTCTCTTGTTCATGCGTCGTCTGGGATTCTGGCAACAGTGGCGAGCGATGCCGTGTTTACGCCCATGGATACAGTGAAGCAGAGGCTGCAGCTGAAGAACAGTCCTTATAAAGGGGTGGGAGATTGTGTGGGCAGGATTTTGAAGGAGGAGGGTCTGAAGGCCTTTTACGCATCATATAGGACTACGGTGGTGATGAATGCTCCGTTCACGGCGTTGCATTTTGCGACATATGAGGCGGCGAAGAGGGGACTGATGGGGGTGATGAAGGATAATGAGAGAGTAGATGAGGATGGGTTGGTGGTGCACGCAACGGCCGGA